AGAAGTCGTGGCTTGGGCAGATCGACCAAACCTGCCGTGAAGAAATAGAGATGGGCCGAGTCTCTGCCTGGCGTCTAGCCATGAGGGATCCTCGTAGGTGGAAGCGAAGGGTGGATGCGGCTATGCACCCCCGTCGGCGTCAGCCCCCTTGATGATGATGATGATATTCTGCTCGGTTATTTTATTTGTTCCTACCAGTTTTACCATTTTTTCGTATTCGATCATAGTCCTTACCTTTTAATTTGTTAGTCCGTATTATTTTAACTGCCACGGTGCTGTTAAAGAATTAAGGTATGCGCGTCCAGAGGTATTCTCAGACCGATTGACGAAAATGCGTTATTAAACGTTTTGTTAATTTAAACTCTCCTACAACATAAACATCGGTATGTTCATATTAATGCACTCCTATCTCATCATGCAGTGCATCAACGTGAACATATCGATGCAACTGTTATAGATGAAAGTTCAACCCAACAAAATATTTAATCAACTTGTTTACGGGCGATTGGTCTGTAAGCGCACTGATCGTTTTCCTGCTAACTACCCTTTTTAGAAGGGTCACAGGATATTTGCTTTCGTTTTCACGCCGGTGGTTTGTTCTGTTTGTGATCTAACCATCCAAAGAAGAGCTATCAGTTCAGTATAGTCAGTATTATAGATTTTATAAATTTACTTATTTCAACTGGCAACAATTAGCCGCATATACATCACGGGTATATGCGGCTAGGGGCTTGGCGTTCCTCTCCGATCTTATTCGTTTTTATTCATGCTTTTCATAGTTTGTTGAATTTTTTGTCCGACTTGTGGGGTGTTCAGTTTTAAAATATACTTTTTGTTTTTGTGTGTTTTACTTAATGTACTCTTAATAAATATTATGTGATGTGTAAAAGGTTTTGTTACCCTGCACAATATGTTCATACAATTCAGTCGATTACTTTTGAATCAGTCTATTGAATCTGAAGCTAAAGTAACGATGCAAGGCTAAATGATTGGAAGCTGAAGTATTTGTATGAAATCTTGAAGGAAAATAGGCCTACCTAATTAATTTTCTGATTAACAGTAAGATTAGCGATTCTTCCTGATGAGTGTAGCTAAAGGCTATAGTTTGCAGTTATTTTTTTGCATTTTTCATTGGCTTAACGTCCTGCAAATCCATGGCTATGGTATATTTTTTCTTCTAACCGGCGCCACACCCACCTTCCATTACATCAAATTAATGGAGCTGTTACTTCTCTAAAGTTATTCCAACATGCCAACGATTTTCCGCCAAAAGTATTCTTCATCATAGCTAAACTTCAATTATCTTTCTTCTATACGAAGTAATATCTCTGAATTAAACGTCATCTTTTGTGAGATCCAGCATATGTACACTAAATGATTTTGATATCTTTCAAGTGCCATTCTGTGAAAGTATTTTTTTTTTTTTTTTTTTTTTTTTTTTTTAGTGGATGATTTAGAGATACGGGACACTTCTGGTGTGTATTATTTATTTTGATACCATAGAGATATCAAAAAGTTACATTTATTTTATACATAACATATGTTCAAAATAAGTTGTTTTTTTCGGTATTATTTGAATTACATCTTTTCACTTGTTTTTCTTTTCTTTCTTCTCCGGTTACTCTACATAATGTTCTGTGAAAGCATTTTCATTTTCTAAATTGTTTCATTGTATAATGAGATTAAACAGATTTATTATGATTTTGTAGTTTATTATCTTTTCCTCAAAAAATGTACAATTTATCTTTTATGTTTATTTAGTTCTGTGAAAGCATTTTCATTTTCTAAATTGTTTCATTGTATAATGAGTTTATTATCTTTTCCTCAAAAAATGTACAATTCATCTTTTTCGTTTATTTCCACATAGTTTAATGTAGGCGTTGTTTTGCCATGCTAAATATTCAAAGTAATAATCTTGAAGTAAGTTGTGTGACATTGGAAAAAAATATTGTCATTTTTATTCCCGTTACTACAATGGAACTTGATTTAACAGTGAGGCAAACTTTGTCATTTAGTCTGCTAGAAAAATAATACTTTTTTTCACCCGTATCGGATATTTTTTTCTACCGGGAATTCAATCTGCCCTGCAGTTTATCAGAATATTTGGAATTCTGTCTAACCGTTGATTCCTCTAGGAGGGATAATGATTCAGATAGCACATACATAATACACACAATTTGGGTTTTGAAAAATCAAACTTGCAGCTCAAATAACACATGAAACTTGCTGCTTTTAATGCAAATACATAGTTATATCACATATACTACTACACTTTTATCTACATAATAATAGTTGATATATTTAGCTCATTTTAGTTATGCCTCTTTTAATAATGTACCCATTACATTTCGAATCCTTTCTATTCAATCGCACAAACCCTACTTCCAAACACTTGATGACCATTGGAAAACCCTCCCAGTACCTTGCTCGTTGACGTCGCGGGAGGGGTTAGGAGACGGGGACTGAGACACAATGTAGGGGATCACCCCTACCTTGGGCCTCAGCCTTCGCTTCAACTAATTTTGCTTGGTCTTTTCTCTCTTTTCCTCTTCCATATCTTCTTTATTCCATTCTATCCCATTCCTAAGGTGTGAGAGCCGTGCTGAAAGGATGAGAGGCTGGCTTTGCGTCAGTAACGAACGGCCTCCGGGAGCCGTATTCCCTTAGTTAAGTGCCTAGCTCTTACACCTTATGGGGACCCTGAGGGGTAGACCGTTTTTCTCCATTTTATTCTGGCTCACCATGACCAATAATGAAGATTCTTTACCCTTATTGGGGACCCTGAGGGGTAGACCGTTTTTCTCCATTTTATTCAGGCTCACCATGACCAATAATGAAGATTCTTTACCCTTATTGGGGGCATTAAGGCATATCCCTTCATCAACTAGTCTATCTGAATTTGATTTTGGTTTTCAGACCCGTCCCTCCTTTGACTACGGCTCCGACCATTGATACTAATACTCCCTCTTTGACGCTTACGAACAACTCTAACCATTCCAAAACACCCACCCAGGTTATTACTCAACCTCTAGAAAGCACCCCTTCCTCTTCCCCAACATTCTCTTCATCTCCTGCTGCACAGTCCTCTTCACTGTCTACCCCCTTTTCCCTTATTACTACTATTCATTCTTAGTGTCCTCCCCCCTCCCGCAGAACTACTCCACTCCACATCACCACAAATTCCTCTCGCCCTCGTCCATCTGCTGCCTCTACCTCTGCAAACCTTCTGAGTACTGTATTTGGCTAAGTGGGATCGATTATTTGTGACCCCCCCCCCACCACAGCCCCCTATTCTGAGAATACCCTTCTCTTTCAGCAGTGCCTCCAGAAACAAGTAGGCAAGCTTACCTTTCGCAGTCGCTTTGATCGTTCACGCCTTGTCATTTACATCTAAATCCCAAGCTCATGCACTTCCTATCCTAACGGACAAAACTGGCAAACCCATTCCTGCTGAACCTCACCCTCTCTTAATACTTGTGCTGGAACTGTTTCTATTCCCCTAAATACTTGCCCCATGTACGACAAAGACTGGTTAGACTGTGAAAATGACCTACATTCCTGCCTTGCTGAATATGATGCAGTAGCAGTACAGTGTTGCACTTCTTCCCAGAGGCCAGCGTAAGTCCCCCATCTTCACAAGATATTTCTACATCTTCCCAGGTATCTCTCCCATAAACCCTGAACCTACGTCCTACTTACCCTATCCCCCAGTCAAATTCATTTTCTATTCTAAATCCAGATACTCCAATCTCTAGCACTTCCCCGATACCTACCCCACTTCCTCACTTTATTTGTCGTACTAGGCAACCTAAACGTTCCACTCCCCCCTCTCCTACACCGTCATCCTCATGTTCCTTTGATATCTATCTATCTACTCTTCCCATCGTAAGAGAACCTTTGTTTCTCAGTCCTCTTCACACAACTCCCCTCCAAAAAGCCTTGGAGACATCCAAAAGTTCCTAAAGGTGACCTAAAGGAACACTCCGCCCCCTCAACCACCCCAATACCTCTGATCCTACTACTACATTTGAAGTTTTTGCAGCTATCCATCTTCCTCCTCCTCAAACTCAACCCCCCCTCCCCCTTCCTCCTACGCCCTCCCAACATACCCCACCCTCTCTATCGCTCCCACATGAATACTCACATGAATCACCTCTATCAAGTGTCCTCCAGACCCCTCCCCTCCAGACATTCTTCCTGATACCACCTTCCCTAGTCCCCTTTTATCATACCCTGGTCTCTATTCCTTTCCAAGTCACAAACACGCTGCAGTCTAATCAGGTGCTCTACCATCTTATATTGCCCCTACCTCTTCCCAACATACCTCATTCTCTCAACCCCCCCCTCCCCCCAAAAAAATCCTTCCCCCCACTATCCCTCCTGGATATACACATGACACTCTTTCCTTTAACAAAACTCTCAGATACCTAATCCACTACTACTAATATCTATTGTTATCACCTATTATCCCTATTTCCTTCCCTAGTCAAAAACAATGCAATTCATTCAATTGTGCTACCTCCTTAACCTTTCCCAATTTACTAATCCCTATTCTACATCATTTACTTCCTCCTTTTCCTTTTCGTTACTATACTTTCCTATAACACCCTCTAATCATTGACATGTAACACCTTCCCCTCTCCCCTGATTATTATTCAACTTTTGCAACAGCTGTCTCTATCCCTCCTTGAACATTTTTCCTATATATCTTCCCCAGTGACAGTTACACTATAATTCACTCAATCACCTTCCCTCTTAACCCACCTCTTTCTACTAATTTCTGCTCTAGTTCATTTGCTCCCCTTTTTCCCTTTCACTACCATACTATCCTAGATGTCAAAGGTTTGAGAGCATTATAACACCTTTTATCATTATCTTTAACTCTCCTTTGCCCTTTCCTACACAATACTTTACCATATGCGACCTTTGATGTCTAGCACATTCATTTTCAAACATTAAACCATAGAAAAAAAAAACTCAAAAGGCCAAAGAAATTATAATTTAAATACTTTAAATCATTTATTCTCATAGATGATCACATATATACACTATACATATAAATCTAAGGTTCAGTGTGTGGCACTTCATTTAAGCCTGAGCCAATTTTTGAATAGCTTCTCCAACTTGACCGGAAGAGAGGCCCTCTAAGGAAACACTGGCTTCTTTGCCCAAATCTGTTCAAAGAAAGACACACATTAGTGCTTTCTTCACACAAGTCTTCATATATCGTAGCATGTTGTAATTAATGCAACAAATTCAAACTAGTGGTATGAAATAATTATAAAAACAGCTGATAAACAACAGTATCATGACAGAAATGATTTGTAATACTCAAAACTTTACATTTAACATGAAATCCTTTCACAATTTTGCCTCCGTTATGAACAATTTATTGAAAGTCACTTAAAAAGCCATACCATATCTAGCCCATGCCTTGGGTTGAACACCAGAGCATTCCCTGATGAGAATGGGGAACTTGGGGTTGGCCTGCTTTAGTGCCACATAGCTGCTTTCGATGAAGTCTCTGAAAGAGGATGAAAATTTTATTTTGAACTTTTGTGAAAAGATTTACTAGGTCTTTTTTACTAAGAGGACTAGTTTTAAATGTTTGCAATATAAATAAAATAATAGTACAAAATTCAAATAAAATCAATTTAACTAAAATTTCTAAATGTCCTAGGATTTAAATTGGTATTCAGTCATACCAGATAATTGCACACTGTCTATTGTCATATCCCATTGTGAATTTCATTTGTGACATAGATGGCTCCACAGTGTTTGTCACTGAGCCAATTAGTAGATCTAGGTGTCCTCCGCTAATTTTCCATTTTCTTTTCTTGGTGCTATTAAAATTATAAACATTGTGGTTATTGTAATGTTATTAACAAGACTAATAGTAATAAAAAAATAAAAATCTCTAAAAAAAAAATCGAGGAAAACAGTACCAAGGTGAATTAGGTAGGACTAAAGACTGACTCATTGGTGGTTAAGCATTTGTGTAGAAGACTATCCATACACAAAAAGACAAGTGAACATGGTATTATTCTTGCCATCCTAGCAATATTGGATTAATATATAGTAGTAGTTACTGCTTTTATATCTATTTGAGCAAGAAGGAAAATCAACTTGTTTTTCTTTTTTACTTTAAAAAACACCCTGTTCAAGTAAATCTGATATTGTAACCACCACCACACATTGTACAATGTTAAAAATAATAGAATAACAACATTTGTATACCATCATTACATTCCTTGGTATTACTATGAGGAATAGTTTCTGATATGTTATTTATTTTTGCATGTACATTCAGACATTTAATTCTAAATACACATCAATTATAACAAAAAGTCAGCAATATCTGAGATTTATTAAAATACTTTATTGAACTATTTGCTCTCAATACATAATTTTGTTGTATGCAAAATCCATATGAAAGATAAAACTGAAATGAACCTGATTAAAAATCATTTCTTACAACAGATGGAGGAGGGGGCATGTAGTATACCCTGAAAAGGGATGAATAAATAATGAAAATCCTACAATAACAGTTCATCAAACATCTTTCTAAAAATCTCAAAACCCAAAATTCTGTAAAATCTGAAAGGCACAACACAAGTTTGGCATCACCTGGCTCTCAAGAAAAGGCCTAAAAAAGTTCACCACATACATTCTGGAAAAGGAGCTTTGAGACCTTCCTGCCACTGTTTCACTAAGGAAGCAACCAGTCAAGGCCTAATCTTGCCAGAATAAATATATGACTGGAGGTTTGTTGGCATTTTCTTATTTTGCACATAAATGTGGCATACCTGAAAATTCTCTATGTAAAATTAAATAAATAAAAAAATATATATATATATGGTAGAAAATCCCACAATGCACAAACTACATTTATTGAGGAAAGTGAGACAACAGTTTCGGAATTGTCCTCGATTCCCTCTTCGAATCACAGAGATAGTGGGATATGGACACCACCATCTTATAAAGCATAAGAAATAGAATCATAAATAACAGGTACAGCTGTTAAGGCCACGTAGTTATTGTGAAATGACAAAATATCTACTATATATCACTGCTAAATGATTAAGTCCACAACTCCCTCACACAGTTTTAAACATAGGTCTTCTACCTGTCTAGGGAATAGATAGAAGGTAATAGTTAATGGTAAAAAAAAAAGAAATGTGCTAGACATCTATGGTCATATAGCACTATGGTAAAGTATTTTGGTGAAAAGGGTAAATGAGTTAAGATTAGTATATGGAGTATTAAATGCCAAAGGTTTATTTATGTAAATCGGACATAAATAAAGGAAAGGGTTAAGGGTATACGGTGACTGGATGGAATTGGGTGTATCTGTTGCTAGGGAAGCTAGAGTAACAGTGCTTTAAGGACTGGTAAAGGAGCTGTTATGAAATAATCAACAGGTAATACAGGTAGACATGCCTGTTGGAGTAGCAGAAGAGTCTAAGGGATGATATAAGGGGACTGGGGAAGGAGGTAAAGAGCATCAGGAAGGGAGGAATCCAAAAGAGAACACTGTTGCGACAGAAGGGATTTACTTGAGTATCCTGGTGGGAGAGGTAAGGATAATGGGACAGAAGAAAAGGATGAAGAAGATATGGAAGAGGAAAGGAGAAGGAAAGACCAAGTAAAATTAGTTGGGGCAAGGGCTGAAGCCCAAGGATGGGGCAATCCCTACATTTGGCTCCAGTCTCTGTCTCCTGTCCCCCCACAACAATGAGCAAGGTATTGGGAGGGAAATAGAAGGTAGGAAAGGTTAGGTTTGGGTTTTTGGGTCCACATGATACCCTGGCTTTGGGACTTAGTCTCTAGAGGGTGAATCGCTCTTTGTAACAAATATCCTAAGTAGCAGCATACTAGCCTGTGACATAGTCAGCATGATCGGCTGAATAGACTGACATTTTCCGGATCATTGTCATCCATCTATCAGTCTAGTTATTTATCATTCCTGGGCTGTATCTTGTTATCCTCGTATGTTGGTCATGCACTCTATCCTGCCAAGTATCTGTGGATACTTGGCATAACCCACTGCAACAACAATGGCATTGAAGGATTCCCCTCATGATCCAAATCTATGGAAATTATGCCGCAGAGTATATTATTCATATATTACCCCACAATTGTACCTTTCATGCCCTCCTCTGCTATTGCAGCCAAGAACGTGGGGGTTTAGGGGGGTTCTGCAGCATAATTCCTTCATATATGTGTATTAGTGTGTGAGAAGAATCCATCTACACCAAAATTGTTGCAACTGGATATGCGAAGGTATTCTGTAAATCTACCCTTACTTTACCCAAATTTCCCTGGTACATATGTGGAGGCACTTGGACATATTTTTTAGTGTTCTAAAACACCTCAATTTAGATTTTAATGGATAGAAATACTTGAAATACTGAAAAAACAAGACACATTTATCAAGATCGGATCAGGGGTTGCAGAGAAATCATAATTTAAAGGCTTAATGAATGAGCCTTTTGTTTAATGGGTAAAGCATTAGAAGTCAAAGAAATGACTGTCACAAAAATAAATTTTTTCTCATGCTTAATGGAATGTAAATAACTTTTTTGTCTGAGAAGATAACTAACAAATTGTGCAAAGCTATCCTTAGGTATTTCACGGAGAAATGTGTGTTCCAAAACAGATGCCCTTGACCTTGACTTTCTAGGTTAAACAGGGAAAATGGCAGCCATAGCAGACAGTTTTCCAACATGGCGGCCTCCATAGGCAGGGTGCGGAAAGCTTGAGCACCAGGAAAATTTGTAGAGATAAAGTTTATACCTATAAATACATGTAAATTTGCAATTCTATAGGGTGCCATGATATCTAAGGGTGGGAGGGTGGGTTAATATTACCTTAAAATTCAAATTCTTCCAACAATTGTGTACACTGAACATAAATCAACAGGACAAAGGTGGGTAATTGTTAC